GTCTTGGAATCTGTGTTCTTTATTTGGTATTGGGGATTGAACCCAGAGGCAATTTACCACTTAGCCACATTCCCAGCCCTTTTTATTTTGAGACAGAAAGTTGGTTAGTGCCTCACTAAATTACTGAGGCTGACCTCAAACTTGTGATCCTCCTGTTTCAGACTCCTGAGTTGCTGGGATAACAGGCATGTGCCACCATACTGGAGTCTGTTCTTAATCATGAACTGACTCAATGATACAAATGTGTTCTGTCTATATAGCATTACCCTAAATGGTTGATTAGTTAAGTTTGGTGAAAATTTGCCTCTTGTTTGAGTTAGCTACATAGTGGGTTTTCTGCCTTGTTATTTAAAGTTTGAGAAAAAAAAATTCATCTCCTCCCTCCAAATAAACAAACATAAAATGGAGTGTACAGAGGACTGGGATTTTGGAGGGTGTGCATCGTCCAGATTATTGGATTCATACACTTGTAAGCCCCTTGCTTAACCAGGCTTGTGTAAATGGGATCAGTTCCTTGATCTGTCTGAAAGGGAATTTTTCAGCTGTTACTAAGAGCCAAATCCTTCTTTTCTGCTCTTCTGCTCTGAAAGATATTTATAATTTGTTTGTGATTTATTGAAATTTGCCTGGCTGTGAGGGAACTACATCTTATAAGCTTCAACTCACTTAACCCTTCACTACCTGCTCTGTCCCTTTGGGGAAACTCTCCCTAGAAGACATTTCTGTGAGGTTGCCCTGTCCTCTGAAGTTTATAAAATAGCACACATAATACCCCACATAATTTATTCAACCATTTTCTCTATTAAGGTACTTGGAGGACACAACAGGTGGTGTGGATGTACAAAGAGGGCCACAAATCCCCTCTTACATTTGCTTCTGTTTGATAACTTTGGTGGTGAACACAGGTTAAAGCTGTGGCTTTAGAAAATTAATCAGCTTCCAAAATGAATGGCACCAAATGAATTTCTAACCAAACCAAAATATTTTTCTTTAATGTAAATTAGTATCTACCTAAAAACAGCAGAACATAATTATCCCAGCGACTCAGGTTGGTTGATAATCTTTGTAAATACATGTAAAACATCAAAATTTGAAATAATGTGCTCATTCTTCATATTTATGCTGTGTACCTTTTATTGAGCAGCTTATGGAGGGATTAGAAGCAGAGGATAACTTTTTTTTAAGCTAAAAGAAATTTAGCTAAATTCACCTAAAAGAAATCCTTTTCTTCTATTTCCTCATATTTGTCTCTTTTGCTTGGTTTTCTCACTTTCAGTCCTAGTTATCTTCTTTACTTCAACTTCTGCCCATGCACCTCTGTCAGAAGTCTTTGTTTCTTTTTTTCTGGGGACTTGGAGATTGGTATCAGCAGTACTATAGTGATGCTGAGTCCTGGGTCATGACCATGGCCAGGCTAGCATTAGATGGGAGGAGAGACGAGAGTGTCTGTACTGCTTGACTGGTTTATTGTTTCTGAGTTGTACAAATGAGAGGCATCATGGAAATAGAGCATATTGTATTGAGTTTAATATGTCTCTGTAGAGGGCATCCTAATTTTACATGACACGAGAGAAGGCATGCTCTCCAATCCTTTCCCAGGGAGCATGTCAACAGAAAAGAAACACAAAAACATTTGAGAGGCAGGGATTTAATGCTATACAGCCTGCAAGCATTTGGGTGGTTCCAATATCACTTATGACGCTACGGCAGATGAAGATTGATTTCTTGTGATTTTTATTACATTAGCTTTCTTTTGCTGTTTGTAACAGATTACCACAAACTGAGTGACTTAAAACAACACAAATTTACTAATTGTAGTTCTGACTGTTAGAAGTCCTAAAATCAAGGTGCTGGCAGGGCTGTCTTCCTTCTGGAGGTTCTAGGGAGCGCTCGCTCCTCCCTTTCCAGTTTTTGGAGGCTGCCTACGTTTCTCCTGTCCTTTTTCCATCTTCAAAGCTTCAACTTCTGTATTACATCTCCTCTCCCTCTGAGACTCGCCTCCCTCTTATAAGGAAGCTTGTGATTGCATTGGGCCCGTCTACCTAAATGAAGGAAATCTCCTATCTCAATATCTTTAAGATATTGACTTATCTGAGACTCTGTTTTGCCATGTAAAAGTTTTTTGCCATTCACAAGTTTTGGAGATTAAGACATGGCCATCTGGGGTGGGGGTGGTCCATTATTCTCCCCACCACATACCTGTTCTTCAACCAGCTGTTTGCCTTTTACTACTATTGAGAGCAGTTGTAAGCAAGTTGGAGTCAGCTGGACTATGGCAGTTTTGGAGCTATTTTTACCTTTTTTGAATCCTTCTGCACATAGAAACCAAAATAACCATGCTCTGATGGATCTACAGAACCACACAGGTTCAAACTCCCAGAGCTTTGTTAATCCATGCATTCTTTGTGCATGATGCAAAGAATCTACTGGGTTTGACATCTTAGTGCTAATGGCTGGTGCATTTCTGAGGTATTGTACCCACCAAAGACATAAAGCAAATCTAATCCTTTGGATAAAGGTCCCAAATCCACAAAATTCCAACTCTATCTCTCTACCCAGATCTGATAGTTCTGAGAGCTTGCAAGAGTTGCTAATATGCCTTCTCATGGCCGTTTCCACAAAGCATGCCATAAGAACATTGCACCATCCAATGAAAATGTAAAATCCACTGTCAGCATTTGGGTGGAAAATGACTTTTCTACTGAAATTTTAAGAGAGTGGTGCCTTGTCCAAAATAAAAGCTCTTTATTCTCTTTGTGTCCATACTTTATAGCAATTGGTGAGGAGAATGAGGGAAAGAGTGGGCAATGAGGCTGGTAAGATGGGAGGCACCAGGTGTGGAGGTGAGGGGGGCTTAAATGAAAATACAAAACACAATGAGAAGTAGTACAGGAATTTAGGTAGACAGGGAGAGTAAGGCAAAGAAGTCAAGCATTATTAGTTCTTTATTTTTTCTCCCTTGGGGACATTGAATGGATGGGAGATCCATACTTGGATGGGAAACAGGAAAAAGAGCATATTTTGGAGGTAATATGTAGGTTAAGTGATAATTGCTAGTGGGACAGCCAGATGGGAATGGCAAACAGTTTGCTGTATGGGATTGAGGCAAAGAGGTCTGGGCTTTCTATATGGACTTATGACTTATCAGTAAGAAGGTAATTGGGGGAGAGTATATGGGATTAAGAGGACAAGATGGCATAAGACAGAGACCCAAGAAGTACCAACATTCAGGGGACAGGCAGAAAAAAAAAAGAAAAAGAAAGCCTGCAAAGAAGACTAAAGAATGATTAGAGAAGTAATGGAAAAATCAGAAAGAATAGACATATTAAAAATTTATACCAGGCTGGGGGTGTAGCTCAGTGGTAGAACACATGCTTAGCATACATGAGGCCCTGGGTTTAATCCCCAGTACAAGACTGTGTGCTCACACACACAGATTTGTGCCCATTCCTTGGTCCTACTATTGGACATATGTCTAAATACAATAACATGTAACTTGAAAATTGTTTGTTTATATATAAAACAGGGACAGTAATTCTTCATTTGGCTCACAGGGTTATGAGGATCAAATGAAAAAAGGTATTTGAAAATATTTTGTAAAGTGTCACACTAGTGGCTCTGAAACTTTTGCGTGCATGGTTTGTTAAATCACAGATTGCTATGCTTCTGATTTTAGTAATAGTTTCTTCAGAAGATATGTGGTGGGATTGCCAGAATCTGAATGGTGCATAAATTCTCAGGTGATGATGGTGTTATTGACCCAGAACCATCCTTTGTGAACCACTACGTAATACAAATGTAAGGAATTATCGTTTCAACTTTATAACAAAAATCACAGGCTTCCCCCATGTTGTCTGCTTCATCCTATAATGATGTTGAAAGTTTCTTACCCCATTTCATACCTAGCAATATCTGTGTATGTGAGAAAGTTCAGCTTAGTGCAGTATTTTGTTGATTGCTTACAATCGTGAGGTCAAGGAACACAGGAAATATGTGATAAGAAGGAGCTCTTCGGGATAATTATTCCCCCTCCTATCCCTATTAGATGCAAAATGCTACTTGTTACAACTTTCAAAAATCCCATTAGAGACCCTGTAATTTGATCCAGAGGGAACAGCGTGAGGAGAAAGTAGGGGAAGAGGAAAAATTGACCTCATTCTTCAGTCCTTTCCTAATTCCTGAGACATGTGTGTGCCTCAACACTCTCCTTTTCAATCCCACGAAACAGGGAATCAGGAAAATGCATTAGCACCCTAGTACAGAGTAGGAACACAGAGCTGGGGGGAGACAAGCCATCAAGACAGAAGGAAACTGGGGGAGGGGAGAGAAAACTTCTCCTTGTCGGAGAATCTGCTGCGCGGCTGGAGGAAGGAAGGGAAATGGGGAAAGGTACCTAAGACATCAACCAGACATTTTGCTTCTGGACATGTGAGAAAGTGAAGGAGGATGGAAAATGAGGCACTAGGGCGAAGTGGGAAGAGCTCCTGCGGCTGCTTTTGAGTGAGGATCACAATTGGAGCGCCCAGCTTCATCCTTCCCTTCTGGAGGCCATTCCTCCATTTTTAACCGGGATAAAGAGCCGGCGCTGGGCTGGGAGGGTGTAAGCCAGAATGGCCTCCAGCAGCCCGGCGGCGAACCGGGCTTGGGCCCCTGGCCCAGACCAGAGAGGTGGCCTTGGGGGACGCTGAAGTTACTCCGCGGAGGGGGAGGGGTTGCCAAGCTCCTCTCCAATCAGGGTGGCTGCTCCAGCTATTTGCATACATTATGCTAATAATGGACCTCCCGCTCCGCTCCCACCCAAGCTCCCCGCCCCCTCCTGGGTCTCGCCGTCCGCCCCGCGGGCTGGGCGAAGGTGAATATATTATGCTAATGAGGCGGACTCCTGTTTTGGCTTTGTGGGAGGGGGGGCTCAATGCCCCGGGAGCTGCGGACCGGACGCCCGGCTCCGGGAGGGGGTCGGGGGAGGGACGTCGCGATCGGGGCGCGCGCGCACTCACACACACACACACTCGCACACGAGCATCCCGAAGGGTATTTAAGCTCGCACACGCGAGGCTGCGGAGATACTTAGGGCAGCCGCGACTTGCGTTTGCTCCTTGGGTTATTTCGTTTTCTTCTCTACTCTCCTCCTTGGCCGCTCCTCTAGAGCTGCGCTCTCCGGTGTCGCTCAGCCTTTTTTGCCTTGAACTGAATCCAGGTGGGAAACTGGTCGTCGGGCGGAAAGACACCGAATAGGTAGAAATAAGGCAAAGTATCAGACGCAACAGGTCCAGAGCTCGGTGGGGCGGGAGAGCGGCGGCCCCTCGCCGCGCCCGCTGCCCCCCGGGACCCTACACTGCAGCTCTCGGGGACCTGGGGAGAGGTGTCTGCTTTTTGAGGGTTAGGAGAGCCATCCGGGTGGGTTTCATTTCGGTTTTTTTTTTACCCCATCGCCACCCGGTCCCTGGACTGAGGGTGCTTTTCACTCAACTGGTAGGAGAGAAGGAAGCGGAGGATGGTCCACGCCTGCTGGTCTCAAAACTGAGCAAAGCGCAGGTCCATCTCCGCGCCCGGGCTCCGACTCCACCAACTAGTTGTGCAGCCACAGAGACTGAACTTTAAAGGAATCGTCCTTTTCCTCTCCTTTTAAGATTATTGGAGGAGATAGTGGGTGGAAGGCGAAGCCGAGGCAGCCGCCACAATGCTGGTGAAGAAGCATGCAGGGAAAGGAGGGGGTCGAGAGTCTGGATCCGAAGACCCGAGCCCCTGCGGGCAGCGGTGTGCCCGTACCATGCCCCAGTGCACGGCCCTGGCGACACTCCTATCAGTGGTGGCCGTGGTTTCTTGTCTGTACCTTGGGGTGAAAACCAACGACCTCCAGGCTAGGATCGCCGCTCTCGAATCTGTTAAAGGGGATCCTTCTGTTCGTCTGCTGCCTGATACCTTGGATCAGCTGAAGGCCATGGTGCAAGAGAAAGTGGAGCGCCTTCTGGCTCAGGTGTGAGAGGCTGGGGTATTTTGCACGTGCATAACATTTTGCACAGGTGTGAGTCTGTGTGTAGGACCAGACTTTACCCTTACAGTATGCATACTTGGTTTGATTATGTGCGTCTGCATAACGCTTACGGTAGCATATATTTGCATGTATGCACCTCTCTTGATATCTCCAGTTCTTTATATATTACCTTCTCTCCTTCCTTCTTAATGTTTGTATGCCGAACAGGTGTGTAGGTCTAAAAGGGGAAAGGGTGGCCAGAATGACTGGAAGGCATTTTTTTCTCTTTAGTTTTCTGGAGTCTGATGTAATTCTTTCCCCAGTTGTATGAAGACTATTTCTTGCAGAGATAACATCTGTTTTATCCTTCACCTATTATAAGGTTAGGGCCATAGTTGATATTAATGCATAAAGTGAAATAACCATATAAGTTAAAATAAATGATTTTACTCATTGGCTCTTTTTAGAATAAAAGTTTATTTATCTATTTTTAAATATTTATTTTTTATTTGTAGTTGGATGCAATATCTTTATTTTATTTATTTTTATGTGGTGCTGAGGATTGAATTCAGGGCCTCACACATGCTAGGCGAGCACTCTACCCCTAAGCCACAATCACAGCCCTATTTATTTATTTATTTTTAAAGTAGGTTTATCTTTAGAAAAGGGTGCAGTGCCCAAATATTCATGAATGCAGAACCATTGGAGTTGAGAATTGAAAGGAAGCATCATTATGTTTAAGGATAGCTTTAGAGTTGGGGTGTTCGGAAGTTGCTCTTTCAACAAAGAAGATGTTTAGTCTTAGTTGGAACACAACATAATAAAGCATTTTACCTTCATGTGTAAGGTATTGGCTGTTGTGTGCGTCTGCATAACACTTACTGTAGCATATATTTGTATGTATGCACCTATGTAAGCCAGGTAAGCCACAGCTGGCCTAGAACTGCAACATGTTAGTGCCAGGTTTTTACATTGTTTATTCTTGGGCTGAGGGAGAGGGTGGTGGTGGTTGGAGAATGGAGAAAGATGTATCTGTGTCTAGCAATCTTGATATCATGTCAATGATCACTTTCCTTCTTTAGGTCTTGGGTACTGTTACCTTTTGACTAAGGTCCAAGTACATATGTAAATGTTAGTTATGTAGCCTATCAAATGCTGGCAAATCAGACATATGGTCAGAGTCCCGAACGACTCCATTTTTCTACAGTGCTACTGATGATCGTTAATACCTCTTCTTTTCCTACAGAAATCCTATGAACATATGGCTAAAATAAGAATTGCAAGAGAAGCACCTTCAGAGTGCAACTGCCCAGCAGGTAAAGTGGAACTTATTTAACAAGGTTTTCTCCAGAGCAGAACATTTGCAAACAAAAGTCCTGTGTCTGTCAAGTCTACCTGTAATAATAGTGAAGAAAGAATGCAGACTCAACTTGCTTTAATAAAATCAACATGTCCTTAGTCGAAAGGATGGCAAATAAAGCCCCTAATATTATTTTAAGCTGCATACCTAGGTCTGTTATGGGAAAGCAAAGGAGATAGAAACAATCACCATGGAAAATACAGGCAAGATGATATACAAAGGCATAGTGCTTAGATTCACACATTGAAAGTATTCAGTTTTATCATGTTAACGTCTGTGGTGAAAAGGACTATAAAATTGTTAGATTCTGTGTTCTTTCATGGCAAATGCTGCATTAGTGAAGGTTTCTGTTTGTTCCCGTTGGCATATGATTACATTCATAAACCTCCTCCACTTCTTGCTCACCTTTTACCTATTTTATCAGAAAGGCTCTCTCTCTCTCTCCTAACCTATAGCTAAAGATGAAGACAAAAAAGAAATTAATTATTTACCTTGAGCTTCCCACTGTAAATATTGCATTCTCAGTGAATCACCAGAAAAGTCTTTTGTATTTTTGCCATTTTTTTTTGGGTGCAGTTTCAGAGAACTATATCTATGACAGCATATTAGAAGGATGAAGAAGAGAGACATCAATGAGTAAAACCCCTCAGTAATCATTAAATCTTTATTCACAGATCTCTGAGACTTGGTAGTTATCTGTAGGCTTAACAATTTAAAAGCCCTTGGAATATGGCTATTGAAAAACTTTTAGTAGATTCCAGGATATAAACTATAAAAAGTCCTAAGAGTCTCAGTGTTTTTCAGATAAGCATTATTCATGCATCAATGAACATTTTGGTTTCTTTTATCATCCTGCATGGAAAGTGACTTTAATGTTCAAAAACATTATATATATATATATATATATATATATATATATATATATATATATATATATATGTTATGTGTTACATAATGACAGATTGGCTAATTACAGACCACATAAATGATGATGGTCCCATAAGATTACATTACCTAATGACAGCCAAGCCATCTTAGTTTGTATAAGGGCACCATATGATGTTAGCTCACTGATAAAAATCATCTAACAATGTTATCCTCAGAACATATCCCCATTGTAAGTGATGCATGTCTATGGAAAGACTAGTTCCTGAATTTACTCACATTCTAAGATTATTTTCCCTCGGTGGTAACTTGTTTTGACACAGCTAAATCAGCCACCATGTTTAGAAATTTTAAATGGCAACTCCAGGTAGTATAGCATAAAAATAGAATTTTCTATTCTATTATGTTGTTGACCATAATTGAGCTATGTATTTTTTTTTAAATTAAGGCTTTTGATAGGGAAGATGAATACTCTAGGTAACAGCAAAACAAAGGGTTAACATTTGACATTACAGGTTTTACTCTTAGTTGTTTTCAAGTTGGCAAAGACCTCTGAAGTCAGATATTCAAGAAAGGTACTTTCCTAGTGCAGGAATTAACACACAACAGCCTCATCAGTGTGTAGAGATTATTTCACTTCCCAGGAAAGTTGGTATGATAAAGGATTTCACTGATCACACCACTTAGAGCTTAGCAGTTTTTTAAATATATAGTACTTTTGCTTGCTATGTGAAAAAGTAGGTAGCATTAAATTGGTAGGTTTTTAAAGTGAACTTGGTTAAAAAGTAGAAAAGTGACTTTCATAGCACTAGAGTTCTATTTTTCTAAGAAGATATTACTGCTTGATGATATTTAATGCAGACTAGCTATTGAAGTCTAACTTGCAATCTGGAAGAAAGTGACTATGTTTGGAGTTTGCCATCTTAGAAGATGCATTTGGACCATTTTTTTTAATCTTAACATGGTAATTGAATAATAAATGGTAATTTCCTTGGGTTTTTTTTTTTTTTTTTTTTAAACAGCTGCTTTACTTCATTGCCACCACTAGAGCTCCACATTACATCAGTTTTTACCTGGCTAACTGCAAAGGTGTGCATTCCAATATGCAGAATCAAAGGGGTTTCTTGCTGACAAACCCCTGTTACAGACATAGTCTTTTGCTTGTGAAATAATCAGACATCATAAAAATAAGGGCATTATGTTTAAAAATAGTATCCTGGCAAAAACTAGCTATTTTGAATTCTGATCAGTGAGGTATTGTCTTAGGGAACGAACAGCCTGGCCAAGAGGATTAGAAAGGAGATACAGCACTTCCCACCTGATTTTGGCTCTAACAGTGGTTCAGAGTGACTAAGATTGTCACCCAGACATCTGTTTGCAGGGCAGAGCGAGACAAGTCTGTGACCTCAGCTCAGTTCCTGTGGACAGATGCCCACCCCTTGAAGTTGACACTCTTGTTGACAGTCTCAGACATAGAGCCAAGGAATGATAGCAAAGGAGTAATGCTGGTTGTTTTTGTTCACTCTAATTGCTTTTGATAGAACTCGGTCCCAGTGAGGTTTGTTCCAGGTAGACTAGAAGGAAATCACAACTTTCTCTCTCTCTCTCTCTCTCTCTCTCTCTCTCTCTCTCAATACAGAAGAAGGAACTTCTGTGGGACTCCGGTGAGAAAGAGTATTTATTGAATGGCTTCTTATCAATAGGAGACACGAATTTAATTTTCATAACAATTAAATACTAATAATCTTCTTTTATAGATGAGGAAGTTGGGAATCAGAGAAAGTGATTAACACACTAAAGTCTAGGGCAGGATTCATGCCCACACCTTACTCAAAAGTCCAAGGTCAAATAAGGAATAGAGATTCATATAGGTTGTGGAACTGAATAACTATGGTTTGGAATTCTGGATCTGCTATTGCTCAAAGTAATCAACTTTTCTATGTTCCAATTTCTTATGGGGCAAAAAAAAAAAAAGGAATAATTGTACCTTCACAGGAAATAATTTATGTAAAAAGTTTGCAATATTAGTAGCGTTGCATTACATAATAATTTCTATTTTTTTATATGCTATTTAACTCTAATGTGGGCCATAGGGGTACATGATATAAGTGGGCAAATGGAAGCCCAGAGATGTCATGTAACTTGCTTGGCTCCCAATGGCTGATTAATGGCAAGTTTTAAACTTAAACACTTAATTTTAAATTAATAAATTTTAATTGCTAATGCTTAAACATCTATAAGATATTTATGTAGATAATTATATTAGTTAATTTCTTTTGTTATATCAATAAAGGTTGATTATTTTTGGATATTTACCAAAATTAGAGGGAAACTTCTGACTTTTTATGTGAAGTGTGACTGAAGTAGATAGACAGGACCTGGGTTTAAAAGAGCATGGTGGCAGTAAAGAGTGTCTTTATGGTTTTAATACCAGATGTTTACAAAAGGAAGTAGCTTAGGTACCGGACTCCTTTTCAGACTTATTTTTTTTAACAGCATTACTGAAATATAGTTGACCATATTTACCTATTTTAAGATCTGTAATAAATTTATAGTTGAGCAGTCATCACCACAATCCAATTTTAGATCATCTTTGTTCCCCTGAAAAAATTCACATTTACTTTTTTCATGAGCTCAGGAAAAGTTCTATTTTTTAAAAAAAATTTTGCTTTTAAAAATATCTAAGATGACAAATTTTAAAAACCCTTACATATAGAAGCTCTTGTTTAGCAGAATATTTGATTTAGCAGTAGCTAACTGAGCCATGGAAGATAGCTTACATCTGTGGTTTGGCCTCTGTAAAATCTGACCCTCATATGACATAATAAGCTGGCTCTTTATTATGGCTGTAGAATTCTGTCCTGGGCTCTGTTTCTTGGAGTCTTATATAAAGAATGCTTAAACCAGGCGTATTTATGGAAGGGCTTTCATGTTCTGATAAAGAACAGTGGGAGCCAGACAGTCAACCAAAAGCTGCTTAGATCACTAAGGTTTGTGTATGTTACTAGTCAGTAGTGTAGCCTGCCCATAGTTTTAGGTAAAAGAACCTCTTGGTGTAATGGATGGAGAATGTGAATGGGGAATAAAGCATCTGAAATAATCCTGATTTTGTCATTAACATGTTACACAATCTTGGGCAAATTGTTTCCAGGTATGACTTATAAACTATTTTCATATCTCCAAAGTTAAGACCGCTGGACAGTAATGATTTTGAAGGGCCTTTGTCAGTTCTGCAGATAAGATGAAGAGCCTGCTGTGTGCTGGATAATGGGAGTATGCAGATGAGCAAGATAGACTGGTACCTGCCCTCACAGGGCTTCCATTTTGATGGGGATGACAAATTTGTTTTAAAATGACATGAGTTTATGGGTGTGATCGTTTATAAATTCATAGTAGGAGAAAATCTAGCTTCTGGTGAAAAATAAAAGCTTTATCAGTGGATAAATAGCTGATTTGTATTGCTTCACTTGGCTTTTGTCTTTCCAATAATTGGTAGGTAGATAATGCTGGTATTTGTGTACCTAAACTGATATCCCAACTGAAACAAAAAAGTGACTCTTAATATATTAAGGGTTGTCAAAGATAATATGATGATGATGTGTTTTTCTACCTTTCTCTTGTAAATAGTGAAATTCAGGTTGAGAAAGAGGAGAAACTTCCTTTCTGGGGTACTGAACATGGTACTTCTGGCAACTGTGCATTCAGGAATGATCATGATCATTAATTGTAGTACAGTTAGTCAATTGCTTAAAGACTTTAGCTAGAGATATAAGAAGATATACTAGATATTTCCTGAGGTCTGTACCAACCTCCATGTCTATGAAAATGATTATATACAGAGAAAGACAAAATGTAGGTAAGTAGAAGTGGCTTTCAAAAATGTGAGCAATGAAGCTCCTTGTGATTGACTTAATTTGGTGTGGAAATAAATATTAACCTTGAGACTGTGTACCCTTTCCCATGGTTTAAGAAGAGCCCCTCCCATCCCCGTTTTTTTGAGCTGGAGATTGAAAACAGAGGTGCCACATTCCCAGTCCATTTTATTTATTTATTTATTTATTTATTTTTGAG